TTGCAGAGGATAGAAAGCATAATCTCAACATCCACTCCAGATATTTAGGTTCGACTTGGCTGTACTGGAACCAACAGCGTTATCTGAACTGAGGTGTAGGTCTTTTTAAGATAGATTCTTCAGCTTAGATTCAAATTCATTTAAATTAATTAATTTATTTTCTTTAGATATTTGAGGAATAAAAAGTGCATACACAAATATTCTGAAATTTTAAAGAATTGGCTGAGATTAAGAATATTCCAATACAATAGATACAAAATACAAAAGACACATCCAGTACAGTTTTTGGAAAAGAATAAACAATTTTCTGAACTTTTCTAAACCTTTCTCTTTACCCTTTAGATCTGTTTCTGTTGTAGGGGTCTGAATTCCAGCCTTTGTAACACAATAACAACCTTTGTTTGTCCAACTGTACATTTCAACTAAATATCTCCTCTGAATTCTGACTCATCCCTCAGGGAGCAGAGAGCAACATTTTGCAGCACCCAGGGAGCATTTTGGAGCTAAGGGTCTTGATCAGGGACCCACAGGGGCAGTGTTTGTTTTGAACTGGTGATCCTGCAGCCTCTACAGGACAAAAACGCCTTGCTCTCTAACCACTAGGCCACCAGGCCTCAAATCATATAGATTCAATGCATTCAGTGCTGTTATAGTGCTCTTTCCATAATAGGATTAAAAACAGTAAAATTAAAGTAATTAAGAGATTATCTTGGATTATTTATCATGATCAATCTTAGAAGCCATGGATTGACACTTATAACTGTGTTCAAGTGTCTGCAGAATGGGTTTACAGTGAGCAGTGTCACTATAGTAGAAAGATGTTCAGTGACCAATGCGTTATTTCTTCTAAACTAAAACTTAAAATCAGTAAATGGTGAAAAAAAAATTATGTGACAGCTTTAATATCTTTAATTTGTAAGAAATATTTTTGATTTAAATCTGTGAAAAAAGCTTTGATGAAGGTGTTTCTTTCTATCTCAATCAAGATTCTGTAAGAAGAAGTTTAATATCAATGCAAACTCTGTGAAACACTGCGTTATTCAGCATGTAATGCAGGGTCTAGAAGATGAGTTTGCAACCAAGCAAGTACATACTTCCATCATGACTAGGCCTAAACTGATAAGGGTTTATTGAAGAATAAAGAATTGCTTTAACTTTTCAAGTATTTCTAAAACATGTAATTATTTTAAACAATTTTGTCTTCTATGGAATAGTCCAATGCAGCTACAGTATAGGCTGCACAAAGTGAAGAAACATCAAAATAGTTTTGGAGTGATAGCAAAACACTGATAAAGATATGATTCTAAGAGTTTAGTGAGACTAAATAACAATTCATAGTCTTGAAGTGACAGGAAAGCACAGTCTCTTGAGGCATATGTTTTTTTGCCTTCCAGTCTGAATTGGTCAATCATCTCTCGAGCACCTTTACAAGCACGATTTGATCAAACCAAACTCCAATTCGACCAAGACCCACCTTTCCTCTCTGTGCTGCTTTTCCTTAAAAGCACAATTTTTTCCACCCAATCTCATTCTCTCCTCACAATCTCAATTACTCTACTCTCCCACATGTCTTGCTCCCCCACCCCCCACCCCCCACTTCTCTCTGATCCTCCTCTATCGTATTTTTGCCACTCCATTGTCTCAGTCCATTAGGCAGACACAAATCCGTTTGGAGACGGAGCCTTAGCCTAACCTCGTCCTCACTCTCCAGGGCCCCGGCGCAGCCAGAAGAAAGCTCTCAGGGGAGGAAAACTCTGCCTTGTGGCCGGCGAAATCCATTTAAACCTTTGCCATGGAATACTGCTTGGTGTGCGTAGAGTATATCTGCTTTATAGAGAATTTTGTATCTGCACATACATACAAGCCCGCTGAGAGGTCTGTAAATCACTTGGCTTTCCAACTCCTTTTATATCCCTTCATGCCTGGAACCTTTAATGTAACAATATTAATTCAAAACCTCATTACAGAAGGCCATTGAACAAAAGGGCAAAACACAGCACAGATACAGTAGAGTAATTTGGAAAAGTCTTGGTATCAATCATTTACCAGGTGAATACCAAATACGAATTTCAACAGCTTCCACTATTAACCCAAACGAACAAGAGAACGCAGAAGGACTCTGCTGATGGGCAACTTTAATGATTTCTGAGGTCAAAGGTGGTCTAAAAAAGCGTTTGGTATGCTTACTGCTGCAATCTTTAATTCCTTGGTTTTGGTTGGTTTTTAGGCTAAATCTTAAAATTGGGCTGTGTTTGGTTGTTCTGATTTTGTCCCACTTAAGTCAAATAACAGACCTTGAGAAGACATGGAAAATTGACAAATAGACATTTGAAACGTCTTTTCATTATGAGTCATTTTTTTTCTGATTACCTATACCTAGTTACTAGAGGAGCACCCTCAACCTGCCCGTCCTCTGAAGCTAATTGGTTTCACCCGATCAGGAAAATAATGTTTAATTTTATCTTTATATCCATGCAAAAGTATGATTTTTAATTGCGTTTATATATTTACTTATTCCAATATTTAGTTTTATGAATCAGACACACAGCTCTCTTCTCTGCTTAAGACCCTCCAAGGCTCACTAAAAGTCCTCCTCACTCCTATCATTATTATTATTTTTCTCTTAAGTCCTGAGGTGCCTTGTGAATAGCTTTTATCGTACAAAGGTAAAATTCTAAGAACAATCTTAGAATATATGAAATTGGAAGATTTTTCCTCAAACGACACTACTTGCTTTTAGACCTAGAACTCTTTGTGAAAACAGGCTCAGTTCCTGCTGTGTTGATAAAAAAAAAAAAAAAAAAATCACCTCAGTAAATGGATGTACAAAGCAACTCTTTGGCAGCCTATAAAGTTAGGCTTTGGACAAAATGATTTGGCAGTTCCAAAAAAGTAAAAAGCAAAAGACAGGATTGGAGAATGATGGTTTTTCCCAGACTTTTTATCCCCTACCTACCTACCTACCCCTAAATGTTTATCTGTTTATCCATCCAACATTCATTGATTTCTAAAAAAAAAAAAATCAAGAACTCTAACACTGCAAAATTACAGAACTTTGACTTAAAACATAATTAGGAGCTTTTTTTAAATAGGTTTAAAAACCACTAGATGAGACATATGAACTTAGCATGTATGGATAGGATGTGGTACGAATAATACTGGGCTTAAGGGAGAGACCTACCACCAGACGGCCAAATGTGTGCACTCTACAGCAGTCCTTTTGTATGGAAGAATGCATTTTTAAATGGGAGTGGACTGTTCCCTGCCATATCTTCCCTCCGAGCAGTAAATAGAAGCAACAGAAAGTAAAGCTTCGGTGGTGGCCGCTGGTCTTGCAATGTCACTATAGCTCATGTCTCTCCAACTACAGCAACCAGATGATACCAGAGGGTCGCCAGACAAATGTAGAGATGACAACATGGAGACATGGATAGGCTGGATGAGCCAGATTCAGTGTGGAAGGACCCGCATCAATCTGTCACACCCAAAGCCGACTGTGGGCCCACAGGATGCTATTGTTGGGATTTGACTGCCTGGTTCAAGCACTGACATTTAAACATGTTTCTTAAGTTCTGAAGATAAACAGCAAAGCAAATTCAGTTCAGTTCAGGCAATAAAGTGTACTCCCTCTATAAAGGGAATGTGTAAAAAGCAAGAACATAACAGCTGCCAGCAGCTGAGGAAACTTTCATTAGTGAATGAGGTTTCACTTTCTCTGCATGGACAGATAAGGAGGGTTTTTTTCTTAACTGGTAATTTTTCAGTTCAGTGACAATTCGGCACAAACTGAATGAGCTGATTTTGCCTAAATCCAAATCTCAATGGGTCTCCGATAAAGCAGCAGCAGATTGCTTTATCCCATTAGGCAAGGCCTAGTAAATAAGCTGAGATCTAGCGCTCTGTCCTGGTGCAATCTCCAGCTGATCCTGTCGCTGGCATCAGCTCTGTTGGCAGTTTGTCTTTCAAGTCAGGGCCCCAAGCTAAGCCTGCCTGTCTGTCTTTATGTCCATGAAGCTAATACAAACCAGTATGGTTGTAAAAAAAAAAGAAGAGACTTTGCAACCACTATAATCACTTTGCTGATGGTTTTTATATGGATATGGTTTGCATTTTCACACCAAAGAAAAGTACAAACTAAACTCTTTTTCTGCCTGCAATATGCAGTCATAAAGTCTAAATTGTGCAAAAGACATGCTGTAGTTCATATTGGTAAAGTTTATTCAAATTAAGATTCACAAAAATTGTGGGGACAAATTTTTAATCACCATAAGTTGAGAAAATCACCACTAGGACAGAAGAAGTGTATTCACCCCCACAGAATATTTCCTACTGGTTGTATTTTGTCACACTAAAACGTAAAATCAATAAAATGTATATTTCAGGCGATATAATTAATTGATTTAAAAAAAATAATTAAAGTGTGACTGACTTCATTTTTTTGAAAGCTAACAGCACTTTTTACAACTACACCACACTATTACTTGATTGTTGCAAGACCCTTACAACCCAGAAATTACTTAAAGACAACAGAAAATGATTCAAAGATGATGCCGTTAACATATAAAAATCTATATTTTTTTGAGTCACAATCATCTGGGAACAGCGGCGAAGCTTCCTTGAGTTTGACGGCGTATTGAAAACTCTTATGATTCAACAAAATAACATCTTAAGACATTATATCTAAAGAGTCAGACCTTACTTAACTCAATTAAGTTTAGGTCTCTATTTGTACAGAGAGAGCAAAAACAGAAGTAACATTTTAAAAGTACCACTATATTTACAGATTTTAAAGAACAGTAGTACAATGGGTCTTGCCAGGGTAACAGCTAGGCAAACAAAAACAGTTGTCTGTAAAAGTAAAATCTTTATGTTTTTTTTATTATTATTTCTGACCAAAACAATTACTTCTAAGCGCTGAACTCTATATAAACATGCAGATATTCAAACTCCTTACAATTTTTCAGCAAAGAGAATCATGTGGTTGGGTGGGAAAGTCTTACCTTGGCAGCCATGATCATCGAAGAGCCTCCACGTACTCCAAGAATGGGAATGTGGGTTTGGGCTGAAATGAAGTCCAGGATCTGAGCGATGGCTTCCTGGTCTGTGTCATCTCCAAACACGACACCCTGTAGCCAATGCTCCGTCATCAGGTCACAGATGCTTTTAATGATGCTTTTAGGGTCAGTTTCGTTCATGGTCAGTAACTCCACATTAGGAGCTATGTGGAGAAAGTCCTCCTTCTCTCTGGCCCCTGCCAGTGCCATCTCACTGGAGTTGCCCACCAGCACGACAGCAATGCTTAGACCACTTAGGATATTAGGCAGGGCCATGTGGTGTGGCGGCGGCTGTGGGATTGGCATGTAATGACTGCCACCGCCTCCTCCGCCCTTTTCTCTCCGTGAGTGACAGGGTGGAGGTAGGTGGAGAAGACAGAGCAGCAGAAAAAGAAGGGGCAGACATAAAGAAGTGCCCGTTGTGCGGTGAACCGATGGAGGTGGGGGTGGATGAAGAGTCCGAACTCCTTGGTGCCCCTGAGCAACCACTCGAGGGGAGTAGTGAGCCCCAGCATTTTGACAAGGTGGGGAAGAGCTGCAGTGTCCACGGACAGGCATAATGTAGGCGTGGGAGAGAAATACCTGGAAAGAAAAGGAAAGAACAAGAGAGGAAATAAAGGAAAGAGAAGGAATTAGGAGTTAGTATACTGTCTTAAATGACTTTTATACAAAGAAAACTGGCCTGCTAAATGCATCATATATGTCAGGTCATACCTGTGTGTTTAAAGAACTATGGAAATAAGTAGCAGATGAAGATGAAAAGACTTTCTTTTAACTAATGCTAATCAATAGTATCGGCAGATTGTTGAGAATGAAAGTTCCTATTAGAGATCAGAGTTAAATTGATAGAGATAAGATGCAAATTTCTTGATTAGGTGCAAGAAGAGAAGGATGCAAGCGAGGAAGAAATGGATTGAGCACCAAAGAGAAAGGGGTGTGTGGAAAAACTTAGGCAAATGGCAGAAAGGGCATATGGAGGGAAAGACGACAAAACGCCTACTCAGACCGACTGACAAAATGTCTGAAGCGATATGAGTGACGCACAAACCCGAGACGCAGATAAACTGATGCTGAAACCAATTAAGTGATTGACAGAGGCTCTTGACAATTCTCATGCTTTGATGTAAAACCCGTCATTCCTCCGTCAGTCCCTGTTGGCCTAGTTTAACACTCTTCCGCTATCCATCCCACCCTCTTTTCTTAAACCCCATTCGTTCAACCTGACGGTATCTTTCGCTCACTAACTGACTCCCTCTTTACCAGTGCTTTAATAGAAGTTTTTTTAAATAATGGTGGTATAGATGGGTGGAAGGTTGAGGTGAGATAATGAAAGCTGTGCAGTCCTTAAAAAAGCCAAAGCAAGGACTCTATTTGTATTCCCAACAAACATACTTACTTATTCTTAGTGCTGTGATTTTTATTTTTAATGGACAGAATCTTAGCATAGACACAGAGAGGGGATGTCTAGCTCAATAACCTGAGGTTACGTGAAGCTAAACGTAAATCCCTGAGATTAAGTTAGACTAGTCCCTCTATTTTGTGGTCAGTTTCTTTAAGGAAAGCATCTTGGTGTCTTCTTTATGAATCGTTTTTGAGGCCAATGAACCAACTGAGTACAGAGAGCAAATTCTGTAAATACATCCCTGGTCTTTAAAACAAGACTACATCTGAGGGACATTTACTTGCCTAGGATTCCTTGGCATTACTTGAAATGTGCTGAAAAGGCCTGCTTAGAGAAGGCTTTGTAAGCTTTTCCTATAAGACCTGCTACTCCAGTGACTACTTTATAAACCTTATACATTGTTAAAGACAATATACAATATAAAGGGATGGATGGATGGATGTAAAATCTAGAAAAACTGCCAGGAACACTAAAGGAGACAAAAAAGTGCACATTAAGTAGAAAGTCTCTCAGAAGAATGTTTTGTTGCTGTATGTTTACATCTAATTGAGTGGGAGGGCGTCTGTCCCTGTGAATCTATCAGCATACAGATAGTGGGTGTAGTTGGAATAGATGTTTGCCTCACTTTCGTGGGCAGATGATACCAGGGAAGATGTGGATGCAGTCTCTCATAAACTCGGACGACGCATTGTGGATCTGGCTTGCAAATAAATGCAGCTAACGAGGCAGATGGAAGTTACAATGGCGAACAAAAACACTCAGACAATATCCACCCTGTGAAGCTGACAGCTGATAAGACAGGGAATGACAAAGAGGGAGGAAAAAGCAAGAAGAAGATTGAGGGAGGGATAAAGGGATGCTCGTGGAGATGACAGAACAACTTCTTTGGGGAGAACTAATTGCTGGAGGTTCGTCAGCTCTAATTACAGGTCCCTGTGTTAATATTCAATTGCACACCACTCTGCAAGAAGGATGGAGAGGTGGGAGGGTAAGGAGGAGGGAGAAATAATAGGCGGCACAAGGACATGGAGCGGGGAAAGGAAAGAGGAAATGTAAACTGTAACACAGGAGCGAAAAAAGAAGAAACATTCATTGAGAAGAACTGAGACAGTAAGGAGAGTTTTAGAGTGAGACATAGAGAGAAAGATTTGGCCTCTATGAATTGGACTTTACTGGCAGCACTCTGTTTCCATGGCAACAATTTAAAAAAGGCCTACATATAAAGACAGAGTTGATGGACACTGAGATATACACATACACACCAGCATGCACCAGGATTTTGTAATAAGCGCTGATCATGTAAATGCGGCAATATAGTCTAGAGTGCTCCCTCTCTGCTGTGAATCTCTGACGTGTATGGACTTAAACCAAAGTTTGTGCCACACACGCAAAGAATTTGCAAGTGTTTTACAAACAAGCAGTCAAGGAAATGCTCGTTTTCATGCATCCACTAAGAGGAATGTTACTGTATTGGTCTGCCTTACAATGCTTCGCTCAAGCACTGAGCACCTTGCAGCCACACAAACAGGCTCACTAGATGCAGCCATTATAAAAGTCCCACAGTGACTGGAAGATTGTCTTGTAAAGGAACGCAAAGGGCTTGTATTCACCTGTAAATTGTCAAGTTCACTCTAAATGACCCAATTTCCCCATCAGCCAACCCCTCAATTTAACAACCATTTGCTCCATTACCTACAAAGTGAGCACAGGCGTCATATAACCTACAAACACAAACACACTTTCTACCAGCTCAAGACAACCCAGGTGCCTGTGCTGTCATGATCCTTAAGAGTGGCTTGATTGCTGATTCTATTCACCTTCCTAGCTCCAACCAGTTTCTCATTACCACTCTTCTGTTTCACCTGCTCCAGTCTCTATTTAACCTACCTTTTTCCAGTCATCAGACCTAGATTATTCAAGTTAGAGTTTTCAAGTTGATATTTTTGCTTCTGATTGCCTGACCCATTCTGCCTGTGGACCTCTGAGCCTGCCTGTTTCCATTCTGATCTGTTTGCCTGACCTGCCTTTAGACTCCTTCTGGATTCTGCCTGTTTACCGAACCTGGAACTGCTTCCTGACACCGACCTGGATTTCACTTCGGTATCTCTTAGGATCTCTCATTTCTGGCTTGGACTCCTGTGAACCTCTTGGACACGACTTTTGCTTTACCCTCTCGATTATCCTTCATCCTTCATGTGGGACTCTCCGGACATTGTCTGTCTGTCTGTCTGTCTGTCTGTCTGTCTGTCTGTCTGTCTGTCTGTCTGTCTGTCTGTCTGTCTGTCTGTCTGTCTGTCTGTCTGTATGTATGTATGTATGTCTGTCTAACAATAATTTCAGTGTGTTGTACTACACATCTTTAGGACGTGTAGGATAATAGATGGCAACCAGTTTAACAATTTTAACAATTTACCTTTTTAACAAAGGGTAATTTTTGTACTTTTGGTGTTGCTGAATTCATTGCACATAGCAACAGTTCTCCATCAAAAAGCAAATTTTCTATTACTGGGATCATTAGACACATATTGTTCTACACAAGGTTGCTAACACATAGTGGAAAAGAAAGGGAAATTATATATATTTTTTTTTTCTACGAGTTTGGTGTGATAATAGAAGTGGAATATCAAACATGTCCTTGGAAAAGGGCTAGCCAGCACCTGATAGCAGTTAGCATAAGCTAGTTTAACTGTGTTCAATATTAACACTTCAATCAAATAACATTTTATCAGCTTTATGAAGAAAGAAGAAAGGCTTTGAAAACTTTAGGTTCTACTAACACTACCAAAACTTACTTACTTAATTACTCTCACATTTTTCCCCACACCATAATTTTGTTTTGGTTTTTTTGCCTTTTTGCTGGTATTATTTTTGATATCTCAATATGTTACCCTCTTGTTTACCTCCAGTCTGTAATGCTTGTTTGTTTAATACTATCATATTTATCTCTCCCTTCATGAACTGTCAATCTTTGCAGCGTAGCTAAGTGCTCACAAAAGTTCAAAAGACAATCTTGTAACATTAAAGTATTGGTAGAAATTAGTTAGATCCGTCCATATTTATCCCAGAAAGGGCTAGCAAAATAACCCAAATGGGCTGCTTTTACCCTGTAAACTTGTAGACTGTATGTATGTCCTATTTACTTGAGAAAAGGGAAGACTAATTAGAGGCAGACCATCTATCTGGGGCTACACCAGTCCTACTTAAATTACTAATCTTTTTTTTTTTTTTTTTTCAAATTTCCCTGTGTGCATATCCCATTGGGGACTTGTTACAGCAGGTTCTAAATAGAAGATGTGATACCTAACAGGAAGAAACCTTATTTATTTGTGAAAATATTAAGTGCATTCCTTAAACCAGCATAGAAACAACCCCAATCCAGTCACAAACACAAAGATGATAATTATCTTTCAAGAACTTAGGAGGGTCAGAAAACACGATGAGCTGAAATTATTGGTCTTTTTTCATGCAAACATACTGAGAACAAAAGGTAGCCTTTACAGATGTTTCAGCCAAGAGACTGATGCCATCAGCAAACACAAAGGGTCCTTTCAGAACAGGCAAAAATAGTGTTTCATCAGAAACCAATTGAAAATAAGGGGCAATCTAAAAAGCAATATATTTTTTATGAAAGGAGAATTTTGAAGGTACTGTGAAATGATGTAAAGCTGAACAGAGCACCTCTCCCTCTCACAGGAGCTACTGTAGCTGCCAGAGGCGGTTTTAGTCATACTGGAGCCCAAGGTGAAATATAGATTTGGAGCCCTCCACTTCCCTTCTTTGTTACTTTTTAACACCCTTTTGCCTGAGACCTGCTTATTGTTTCTTATTGCTTCAAGTAAAGCATGTGTGCAAGTTAATTCAAGGTTGCAATCTCACAATATCTGTAAGAGCAAAAGGCACTTCAGGTACTTCAAATGTGGCTGTGCAGGTTGAAGTCAATAATAATATATTACAAACTTATTTAAAGATATCAAAAATAACTTCTGTTAGGAATCCAGTTTGTGTGGGTTGTGCTTTTGTTTGTCTTCCCTCCACCACCAGGCAGCGCCTGGTTCTCGTTGGCCTCCTTACACACCTGCGGATGGTTACCTCATTACCGGAGGACTCTTAAACTGCTGACTGCCACTACCTCGACGCCAGAGTGTTTGCCAGTTTTGCATACTCTAGCCAAGCTTCTAGC